CCCGTGTGAGGCTGCTTCCCTGGAGGTCCAGGTTGGAGATCCCCGTGTGAGGCTGCTTCCCTGGAGGTCCAGGTTGGAGATCCCCGTGTGAGGCTGCTTCCCTGGAGGTCCAGGTTGGAGATCCCCGTGTGAGGCTGCTTCCCTGGAGGTCCAGGTTGGAGATCCCCGTGTGAGGCTGCTTCCCTGGAGGTCCAGGTTGGACATCCCTGGAGGTCCAGGGTGTGAGGCTGCTTCCCTGGAGGTCCAGGTTGGACATCCCCGTGTGAGGCTGCTTCCCTGGAGGTCCAGGTTGGAGATCCCCGTGTGAGGCTGCTTCCCTGGAGGTCCAGGTTGGCATCCCCGTGTGAGGCTGCTTCCCTGGAGGTCCAGGTTGGAGATCCCCGTGTGAGGCTGCTTCCCTGGAGGTCCAGGTTGGAGATCCCCGTGTGAGGCTGCTTCCCTGGAGGTCCAGGTTGGAGATCCCCGTGTGAGGCTGCTTCCCTGGAGGTCCAGGTTGGAGATCCCCGTGTGAGGCTGCTTCCCTGGAGGTCCAGGTTGGAGATCCCCGTGTGAGGCTGCTTCCCTGGAGGTCCAGGTTGGAGATCCCCGTGGAGGAGGCTGCTTCCCTGGAGGTCCAGGTTGGAGATCCCCGTGTGAGGCTGCTTCCCTGGAGGTCCAGGTTGGAGATCCCCGTGTGAGGCTGCTTCCCTGGAGGTCCAGGTTGGAGATCCCCGTGTGAGGCTGCTTCCCTGGAGGTCCAGGTTGGAGATCCCCGTGTGAGGCTGCTTCCCTGGAGGTCCAGGTTGGAGATCCCCGTGTGAGGCTGCTTCCCTGGAGGTCCAGGTTGGAGATCCCCGTGTGAGGCTGCTTCCCTGGAGGTCCAGGTTGGAGATCCCCGTGTGAGGCTGCTTCCCTGGAGGTCCAGGTTGGAGATCCCCGTGTGAGGCTGCTTCCCTGGAGGTCCAGGTTGGAGATCCCCGTGTGAGGCTGCTTCCCTGGAGGTCCAGGTTGGAGATCCCCGTGTGAGGCTGCTTCCCTGGAGGTCCAGGTTGGAGATCCCCGTGTGAGGCTGCTTCCCTGGAGGTCCAGGTTGGAGATCCCCGTGTGAGGCTGCTTCCCTGGAGGTCCAGGTTGGAGATCCCCGTGTGAGGCTGCTTCCCTGGAGGTCCAGGTTGGAGATCCCCGTGTGAGGCTGCTTCCCTGGAGGTCCAGGTTGGAGATCCCCGTGTGAGGCTGCTTCCCTGGAGGTCCAGGTTGGAGATCCCCGTGTGAGGCTGCTTCCCTGGAGGTCCAGGTTGGAGATCCCCGTGTGAGGCTGCTTCCCTGGAGGTCCAGGTTGGAGATCCCCGTGTGAGGCTGCTTCCCTGGAGGTCCAGGTTGGAGATCCCCGTGTGAGGCTGCTTCCCTGGAGGTCCAGGTTGGAGATCCCCCGTGTGAGGCTGCTTCCCTGGAGCTTCCAGGTCCAGGGAGATCCCCGTGTGAGGCTGCTTCCCTGGAGGTCCAGGTTGGAGATCCCCGAGTGTGAGGCTGCTTCCCTGGATGGCTCCTGTGGGAGATGTACCCGGCTAGGAGTTGACTACAGAGAGCCGAGTTCTGTGAGTACCGGTGACACGGCAGAGGAAGGACTAGAAGGAAAGTGGCTACCGAGTTGCTGCTTTATGCTGCCCACTTGTGACCACTGCGGACCGGCCGCTAAATGGGATTGGTGTGCTGTGTGCTGTAATTGGGTGTGCTGGAGTCAAGTGACTCCGGAATGGATGTCCCGGGATGGGACTGTAATGAGCCGGGTCCTGAACACCCCCAGAAAGGTGGAGCTAAACCACTGGTGTGGACAATCCTTCATGTGGAGGTCCATGGCACAAGATGGCGGAGGGTTGGGCCTCAGCAGGAGGGACAACGTTCTAGCAGGGCAGGAGTAGAAACCAGCCAATCACGAAGCTCCTCCTAACCAGCCAATCACAAAGCTCCTCCTAACCAGCCAATCACAAAGCTCCTCCTAACCAGCCAATCACAAAGCTCCTCCTAACCAGCCAATCACAAAGCTCCTCCAGCCAATCACAAAGCTCCTCCTAACCAGCCAATCACAAAGCTCCTCCTAACCAGCCAATCACAAAGCTCCTCCTAACCAGCCAATCACAAAGCTCCTCCTAACCAGCCAATCACAAAGCTCCTCCTAACCAGCCAATCACAAAGCTCCTCCTAGAAGTGTTCAGTCATTAAGACGGATTGTACAACAACATTGGATTGCGTGCGGCCGAGTAAAGGGACATCTAATGCTCAACCGGTGTGCCAGAGTACACCAGGCTGTCCTAGGGCCCTCTATAGCTTCAACACTTCCCAATAAATGCAGCCAAGGCCGCCATCCTGATCCTCCAGCTTCAACACTTCCTAATAGAGCCAAGGCCACCATCCTGATCCTGTAGCTTCAATGCTTCCTAACTCATTGACACAGCCAATGCCTTCATCCTGGTCCTCTAGCTTCAACATTTCCTAATTCACTGGCATAGCCAATGGCCATCCTGATCCTCCATCCTTAACAGCTTCCCAACTCACCAATACAGCCAATGCTGCCAACCTGATCCTTTAGATTCAATGCATTCTAATTGATGCACCCAAGGGTGCCATCCTGGTCCTCTAACTTCTAATGCTTCCCAATTCGCTGACACAGCTAATGCCGCCATCCTGGTCCTCTTGCTTCACCACTGACACAGCCAATAAAGTGTTCCTGATCCTCCAGCTTGAACACTTACCATTAAATACAGCCAGTGCTTTCATCCTGATCCTGTAGCTTCAATAGCTTCCTAACTTACTGACAAAGCCAACTCCCCTATCCTGGTCCTCTAGCTTCAGCGCAATCTAATTACTGCTGCCAAGGGTGCCATCCTGATCTCCTAGCTTCACCACTTCCCAATTCACTGACACAGCCAGTGCTGCCATCCCGGTCCTCTAGCTTCAACACTTACTGGCAAAGCCAACACCACCATCCTGCCTCTACCTTCAATGTTTCCTGACTGACATACCCAAAGCCCCCATCCTGATCTTCTAGCTTCACCCGCTTCCCAATTCACTGACACAGCCAAGGTTGCCATCCTGGTCCTCTAGCTTCAATGCTTCCTGATTGACACAGCCAAAGCCGCCATCCTGATCCACCAACTTCAACACTTCCTAAGTCAATGACACATCCAGTGCTGCCATCCTGGTCCTCTAGCTTCAATACTTCACAACTCACTGGCACAGCCAGCGTTGTCATCCTGATCCTGTAGCTTCAACGCTTCCTAACTCTCTGACCCAGCTAAGCTTCCATCCTGATCCTCCAACTTCAACATTCCTAGCCAATACAGCCATCCTGGTCCTCCAGCTTCAACGCCTCCTAACTTCCAGATGCACGCTGGCTCCGTTTTAGCGACCCAAGAGGCCCTGAAGCCGCAGGATCAGAACGGGAGATGAGCCTTGGGCCCCTTGAGGAGGGCGGTGGCTGTCCTTGGAATCCGAGTCCCAGCAGACGCCTCTCTGTGGCCGATCCTGCGCGTCGTGTCTGTGGGGATGGCGAGGAGCGAGATTCGCACCGTCTGTAGTTTCTATAGAAACCGGCGAGGCTGAGAATAGGATCATCTGACAGGCAAATTGCCCGAGAAAACGATTAAACGGCAACCCACACAACGCCTACGTCCGTGGGAGGCGGCCAATCCCAGGGATCCGAAGAGCTCACCAATTCTCACATCTGACCTCAACACCCCCGTCTATGATATCACCACCCCCGGCTATGACCTCATCACCCCCGGCTATGACGTCATCACCCCCGGCTATGACGTCATCACACCCCGGCTATGACGTCACCACCCCCGGCTATGACGTCATCACCCTCGTCTATGACGTCACCACCCCCGGCTATGACGTCATCACCCTCGGCTATGACGTCAACACCCCCGGCTATGACGTCATCACCCTCGGCTATGACGTCAACACCCCCGGCTATGACGTCAACACCCCCGGCTATGACGTCAACACCCCCGGCTATGACGTCAACACCCCGGCTATGACGTCAACACCCCCGGCTATGACGTCAACACCCCGGCTATGACGTCAACACCCCCGGCTATGACGTCAACACCCCCGGCTATGACGTCATCACCCCCGGCTATGATGTCATCACCCCCGGCTATGACGTCATCACCCCCGGCTATGATGTCATCACACCCCCGGCTATGATGTCACTACCCCCGTGAGCTCATAGGAGGAACATGGTCTCCGGCCATGCTCTGCGATCCAACCGACGTGAGCAATATTGGTGGGAGTTCTACTGGGTCCGCCCACAGTAGGGCGCCATTGGAGGAGAGAGCAGACTCCTCCCCACCCATGGCCGGATTTAGGGGGGGTGCAGGGGTGGGCTATGCCCCCCAAAAGCCAACCCTAACCTGCCACTATACTGCCCTGAGACTTTACCCCCCCCCCACCCCCCGGATCTGAGACTTTACCCCCCCCCCCCCCGGATCTGAGACTTTACCCCCCCCCCCCCCGGATCTGAGACTTTACCCCCCCCCCGGATCTGAGACTTTACCCCCCTAGTTTGACATTATACTGATCTCAGTTATGCATTGTGTGGGGAGGAGGAGCTCTGCTGTCTGTGCCCAGGCTGTGTGCAGTACAGCGATGGGGGAAGGAGCTGTGCCCCTGTCCTTAGGATCCCCACACAGAGTCCCCCCTTACATCAGGATCCCCAACAGAGTCCCCCCTTACATCAGGATCCCCAACAGAGTCCCCCCTTACATCAGGATCCCCAACAGAGTCCCCCCCTTACATCAGGATCCCCAAACAGAGTACCCCCCCCATACATCAGGATCCCCAACAGAGTCCCCCCCAATACATCAGGAAACCAACAGAGTCCCCCCTTACATCAGGATCCCCAACAGAGTCCCCCTTTACATCAGGAAACCCAACAGAATCCCCCCTTACATCAGGATCTTTCACCAATGTTTGTATAAGCCGTCTGAATTCCCTAACAGAGTATACCTTTGTCCATCGGGATTGGAGCACCAACAGAGTCCCCCCAATACATCAGGAGGGGATGGGAATTCATGATTTCACCACATGTTTGTAGAAGCCGTCTGCATGCCTAGGGGATGACACCTGTATACACCTGTGTCCATGGAGGGGATTGGAGCACCTGAATCACATGATTGGAGGGGATTGGAACACCTGAATCACATGATATGGAGGGGATTGGAACACCTGAATCACATGATATGGAGGGGATTGGAACACCTGAATCACATGATATGGAGGGGATTGGAACACCTGAATCACATGATTGGGAGGGGATTGGACACCTGAATCATGATTGGGAGGGGATTGGAACACCTGAATCACATGATATGGAGGGGATTGGAACACCTGAATCACATGATTGGGAGGGGATTGGAACACCTGAATCACATGATATGGAGGGGATTGGGACACCTGAATCACATGATATGGGAGGGGATTGGAACACCTGAATCACATGATTGGGAGGGGATTGGAACACCTGAATCACATGATATGGAGGGCGGGGCCAATACTTTTGGCACGATCTGCAGGCCATAAGTGGGTCGAATTCCAAACTAATTTTTTTGTAGAAAAATGTAAATTTCATGTGTAACCCGACGGCGCCGCCATTGATTTCGAAATTCGACCGGCCGAGCCTCCCATCCCCCCTCGTGTTGCGACAGAAAAGGATGCTGGTGGCCGAGAGTTTTCTTCCCTTTCCAGGTCGCGGCTCATTTCTTTATCGATTACATTTCTCGCACGATTCTCCATCATGGATTAGAAATTCGTTCGTTTTTCAAAAAATGTCTAACATGCCGATCACTCAAATTCGATGGCCACACGAAAGTCGTCCATTTCTGTGACCCGATAATTGCGCGAAATTCGAACAAAAATTCTTAGAAAAGATTTTCAAAAGAAAATTCTTCTTTCGGAATTTGACCCGGATGTGGCCGGCTGCAGGGTGTGTATAGCAGAGCGTTGTGTGCTGGGCTGTGCATTGGAGGCGCTAGTGAAATGAAGGGCGTTGCACATCGAGCGATTTGTGCTGTGGTGATGTGCGTTGTGATGTGCTGTGGTGATGCGCACTGCGGTGGTGATGTGCGTGTGATGGTGGGTTGCGGTGATGATGTGGGTTGCGGTCATGCGTGATGTGTGCTATGATGTGCGTTGCGGTGATGATGCGTTGCTGGGGCGATGTGCGTTGCACTGATGCGCGCTGCGGTGGTGATGTGGGTTGTGGTGATGTGCATTGGGGCGGTGTATTGCAGTGGTGATGTGCGTTGCGGTGATGATGCGTGCTGCGGTGGTGATGTGCGTTGTGATGTGCATTTTAGTGATGCGTGCAGTGATGTGTGTTGGGGCGATGTGCGTTGTGATTGCGGTGATGTGTGTTGTGGTGATGCGCGTTGTGATTGCGGTGATGCGCGTTGCAGTGATTATGTGCGTTGCGGTGATGATGCGTGTTGTGGTGACGTGCGTTGTGATTGCGGGTGATGTGCGTTGCGGTGACGTGCGTTGTGATTATGATGAGCGTTGCGTGTGATGATGCGCACTGCGGTGATGTGCGTTGTGATTGCGGTGATGTGCGCTGTGGTAATGATGCGCGTTGGGGTGACGTGTGTTGTGATTGTGGTGATGATGCGTGTTGTGGTGATGATGCGCCTTGCGGTGATGATGCGTGTTGCGTGTGATGATGCGCCTTGCTGTGATGTGCGTTGTGATTGTGGTGATGATGCGCGCGTGTCTTGGGTGATGTGTTGTGATTGCGGTGATGTGCGTTGCGGTGATGATGCGCGGTGATTTGATTGCGGTGATGCGTGTGCAGTGTGTTGTGATTGCGGTGATGCGTGTTGCGGTGATGATGCGTGTTGGGGCGACGTGTGTTGTGATTGCGGTGATGCGTCTTGCGGTGATGATGCGTGTTGGGGCGACGTGTGTTGTGATTGCGGTGATGCGTCTTGCGGTGATGATGCGTGTTGGGGTGACGTGTGTTGTGATTGCGGTGATGCGTCTTGCGGTGATGATGCGTGCTGGCGCGACGTGTGTTGTGATTGCGGTGATGCGTCTTGCGTGTGGTGATGATGCGTGCTGGCGCGACGTGTGTTGTGATTGCGGGTGATGCGTCTTGCGGTGATGATGCGTGCTGGCGCGACGTGTGTTGTGATTGCGGTGATGCGTCTTCTTGCGGTGACGTGTGTTGTGATGCGTGTTGGGGTGACGTGTGTGTGTGTTGTGATTGCGGTGATGCGTCTTGCGGTGATGATGCGTGCTGGCGCGACGTGTGTTGTGATTGCGGTGATGCGCGTTGCGGTGATGATGCGTGTTGGGGCGACGTGTGTTGTGATTGTGGTGATGCGTGTTGCGGTGATGCGCACTTCCACCTGCATTGCCACACTGCACGGCATGAATGGGTGTTGGACGGACCTGGCCAGGCGCAGGATTTGCAGCGGCGGGGGCCGAGCGCTCCTCCCACAGGGGGATCATTGCGCGGGTGGCGGTCGGTCAGTCGGTCGGTGGGGAATAATCCCAAATAGTCGCCGTCTCAAAGATTTCACAAAGAAAGAAAACAATAAAGAAGCAGCAATTGCGTCCAGCCGGCAGCCATTAAAATAATGAAATAAATGTGTGTTCCACCGGCGGGGCGAGCGGAGGGCGGAGGGCGAGCAGCGGGGCGAGCGGAGAGGGCGAGCAGCGGGGCGAGCGGCGGTCAGGTGACCAGCTCTCCGGGTGTCGCAGTCTTTTCTCCAACTTCCTCATCGCTATTGTCAACCACGAACGCTTAGCGCGGGAACGCTGGTCGCCATAGAAACCGGCAGCACTAGCCTGCGGCCTGGAATTTAGAGCAGGCCAAGGCCTGGGAACCTGAGGAGGGATGGGGGGGGCAACGTAAGGGGGGTAGGGGGGGGGGGGGGGGGGGGGGGGGGGGGGGGGAGGGGGGACTGAGAGCTTTTGTTATGGTAACGAGAGAAGGACGCGGCGATCTCAGCGTCAGGCCGGCTCTCTTGCGCCAAAAAAAAAAGCGATTCTTTTACCCGGGGCGTCAACCTTCCGCAGTGCAAATAATTCTGTGCGTTTCATTTCCTGGGGTCAGAAAATCGCATTTGGAGACGGTGGGAGGCACGTGGCGGCTTTCCATTCGCATGTTAAAGGAGCGCACACAAAATCGCACTGAAATGCGCTCCCCAGAGGCGGGGCGGCGCCCGTTGACTCCGCTGCGACACCGTGCGTTCTGGTGCTGCGTGATTTCTCAAAAGGGGCCGGCCCGTTTCACATCCGTGCGCGTCGGAAACGCACGCAAAATCGCACGCTGTCCCAACGCACAAACGTGCTGCCCTTTAGCAGATGCACAGCAGTGCCATTCAGCTTTAGTGCCACGCCCCCCATGCATTTAATGCGCGTGCCATAGAAACTTGCGTTTTGGCGCCGCGTGATTTCTCAAAAGGGGCGGGCCCATTTCACATCTGTGCGCGTCGGGAACGCACGCAAAATTGCACGCTGCCCCCAACGCACAAATGTGCTGCCCCCTCAGCAGATGCACAGTGGTGCCATTCATTTTTAGTGCCCCCCCCCCCCCCCATGCATCTGTTAATGCGCGTGCCATAGAAACAACGGTTTGGTGCGCCGTGGTTTTACCTGCGTTTGGCCTGCAAATTCTGATGCGATTTTGATCTACGCATCATCTGAAATAACATGGTTTTCAATGCAGCGCACTTCCGATGCGGCCAAAAAAAAAAAAAAAGGGGGGTCATGTGCGAGCTTGATCCAAGCGAGGTGCGAATTCAGCTCCATAGACCAATTCACTCACAAATTCGCATTAGAATTGCACTGGAAAAAAAAAGCACCACAGTCGCATTCAAAAATGATTGCAATTTGCACCGCAGCAGTGTGATCAGAGTCTCTCGCAGGTAATCGGTGCAGTGAAATGAACAGGCTGCATTACACGCGTGCAAACAATGCATGACACTGCGCACACGCTAGGTGGCGCCATACAGGAGTGAACCTAGGGGGGAGGGACTTCTTTTGAGCATTTCTCACGCATGGGGCAGCCAAAGCATGGAAACAGGCAGAACCGCATGCACGCCCCGATGGTGTGAACGGAGCATTGGGGTGGTCCAGACATTCAGCGCCCGGTCATACCGGTGCGATTTGTGAACTGAAATCGCATCTAATCAACACGAATCTCAGTGACTTAACCTGTGCGATTTGCTGCGGCGTGATTTCTAAAGTCGTTCCTGCGTGACTTTTTCTGCGGTTTATTGCAGTCGCATACATAGAATATAATGCAAATCACAAGAAACTGAAAGTCGCAATAAAGTCTGAAATCGCACACAAATCGCAGCGGTGTGACCGGTGACTTAAGGCCCATTCACACCTTTCCAGGGCAGTACGTCGCATTGACATTCATTTTGAAGATGCAGAACAATCGCACGTACATTGCGACGCACTACCATGCGATATGTTGCCGGAAATAGCGCATGGTTTTTTTTTTGCTTTGTGTCCTAATGCGACACGTGGGGGAAAAAAAAAAAAAAAAAAATCACCTGAAATTGGGGTGGTCCAGACATTCAGCGCCCGGTCATACCGGTGCGATTTGCGAATAGAAATCGCACCTGAAATCGCATCTAATCAACGTGAATCTCAAGTGTCTTAACACGTGCGATATTCTGCAGCGCGATTGCTATAGTAGTTTTTGTGCGACTTTTTCTGCAGTTTATTGCGATGTCGCATACATAGAATGCACTGCGAATCACAAGAAATGGAAAGTCGCAATAAGGTCCGAAATCGCACACAAATTGCAGCAGTGCGACTCGAGACCCATTCACACCTTCCAGCTCATTGCAGTTAGTGCGTCGCATTGCCATTCATTTTGAAGACGCAGCGCCATCGCACGTACATCACAACGCACTACCATGCGATATGTTGCAGGAAATAGCGCATGGGGTTTTTTTTTTGCTTTGTGTCCAAATGCGACACGTGGGGAAAAAAAAATCACCTGAAATCGCATCTAACGAATGTGAATCTCAGTGTCTTAACCTGTGCGATTTGCTGCGGCGCGATTGCTAAAGTCGTTCTTGCGTGACTTTTTCTGCGGTTTATTGCGATGTCGCATACGTAGAATATAATGCAAATCACAAGAAATTGAAAGTCGCACTAAAGTCTGAAATCGCACACAAATCGCAGCGGTGACCGGTGACTCGAGGCCCATTCACACCTTTCCAGTGCGTCACATTGCCATTCATTTTGAAGACGCAGCGGCATCGCACGTACATTGCAACGCACTACCATGCGATATGTTGCAGGAAATAGCGCATGGGGTTCTTTTTGCTTTGTATCCTAATGCAACACGTGAAAAAAAAAAAAAAGTTAGCTGAAATCGCATCTAATAAAAACGTATATCTGTGTCCTAACCTGTGCGATTTGCTGCGGCGCGATTTGTAAAGTCGTTCTTGCGTGACTTTTCCTGCAGTTTATTGCGATTTCACAGACAGAATACACAGCGAATCACAAGAAATTGAAAGTC